TTCAACACTGTTTACTGAGGCCTCTACCCTGACGCCCACGCCCCCTCACCCAGCCGCTCCTTACCTGCCCTCATTTTATGGTAGAGCCTGGGTCTTGATTCCCCCTCGCGCTCTGTTAAGGGGGCCGGCTCCCTGGACGGGGTCACTCCCTCACTGTGTTGTGTACACACAGCTCCCCACCTCAAAAAAAATGCCTTTCAACTCAGCACACTCAGGCACACCCAAGGCAGGAACTCCTTTCCAGCAGGAGTCTGGGGATCTTAAGAGCTCTGCTTGGGGAAACCAGAGGGCAGAGCTGCTTCAAGACAGGTAGGAGGGAGCGAATAAAGGAAAGCACTAGAACCGAAAGAACAGGGACAGCATGACACGTAGGACAGCATGACACGTAGGACCGCGTGTGGCTATTCTGTAAGCTGCATGCACGTTGGGCTTCTGCGTCGCTGGTGACCAGATGCAGCTGGGTTTCTTCCAGAGGGCTTGGCTCGAGAGAGAAGGGAACAGGTGCCTGTTCAGGGTCTACTGTGTGCCAGCTGCGCTTACACGTGTGGTCTTAGTGTCATCTGCTCAACAAAACTGTGATGTGATGTTATCAGTTCCCAGGGGAACAGGGCCCCTGGAGAGCTCGGGTGTCCTCATGCAGTTAGAAAGGGGAAACCCCATCTGTCTGCTGGGTTCCGATGCTCCTCCCCTTCCCGCTGTCAAGGAAAAGAGTCCAACTCTAAAATATTTGAAGACATCTATTCTGAGCCAAATATGAGTGACCATGGCCCCATCACACAGCCCTCAGGAGGTCCTGAGAACACGTGCCCAAGATGGTCAGGGCGCAGCTTGTTTTTATACTATTTATTTATTTTTTGAGATGGAGTTTTGCTCTTGTTGCTCAGGCTGGAGTGCAATGGCACGATCTCAACTTAGTGCAACCTCTGCCCCCCAAGCTCAAGCAATTCTCCTGCCTCAGCCTCCCAAATAGCTGGGATTACAGGCATGCGCCACCAGGCCCGGCTAATTTTGTATTTTTAGTAGAGATGGGGTTTCTCCATGTTGGTCAAGCTGGCCTTAAACTCCCGTCCTCAGGTGATCTGCACGCCTTGGGCCTCCCAAAGTGCTGGGATTACAGGTGTGAGCCACCAAGCCCGGCCAGTCTTACGCATTTTAGAGAGGTATGAGACATCGATCAAATACATTTAAGAAATACATTGGTTTGGTCCAGAAAGGAGGAACAACTCAAAGCGGGGGAGGGGGTGCGCAGTTCCAGGCTATAGGTGAATTTAAACATTTTCTGGTTGACAACTGATTGCGTTTGTCTAGAGACCTGGGATTCATAGGAAGGGAATGTTCAGGATAAGGTAAAGATTGTGGAAAAAGTTATTTGAAGTCTTATAGTGGCTGCCCTTAGAAACAATAGATGACAAATGTTTCCTATTCAGATTTTAGTTAATCTCTTTAGGATTGGGAGGGTCTGGAAGAAAAAGATCTAGCTACGTTAATAGACGTTCTTTACAGATGCAAAGTTTCCCCCACAAAGAACAGCTTTGCAGGGCCATTTCAAATTATGGCAAAGAAATGGAGGGCTGTTGGGCCCCAAAGGGTCCTGGGGTATCCCTTATGCTGTGCTGAGGTGCAGGAACCAAGAAGTAAAGAGACAGGACACTGAAGAACTGATGAAGAGCATCTGGACTCAGGGGGCCATGCTGCCTATGAGCAGAGACAGGCCAGCCCCGAACGCACAGAAGCGTCTGTATTTATTAGGTACAAGCAGGGGGAAGGGTAGTAAGTGAGGTTATCATCTATAGGCTTAGCGATACGGTATAATCACGTGAATCACAAGCGAGGGGGTCACCTCATTATGTCACCTGGGCAGAGAGGTGGGCCATGTGCAGTAGGGGGCCGTGCCATGCACAGTAGTAGGGGGTTGTGTACAGAAAAAGGGTGTACCCCCATTAAGTCAATGAGGCAAGGAGGTGGGCTGTGTGCAACAGGTGTCATGTGCAACACTTCTTATCTGGGGGCTGGAGACTTCAAAGGATTTTTTTTTTTTTTTTTTGGGGACAGAGTTTCGCTCTTGTTACCCAGGCTGGAGTGCAACGGCGCGATCTCGGCTCACCGCAACCTCCGCCTCCTGGGTTCAGGCAATTCTCCTGCCTCAGCCTCCTGAGTAGCTAGGATTACAGGCACGCGCCACCATGCCCAGCTAATTTTTTGTAGTTTTAGTAGAGACGGGGTTTCACCGTGTTGACCAGGATGGTCTCAATCTCTTGACCTCGTGATCCACCCGCCTCGGCCTCCCAAAGTGCTGGGATTACAGGTTTGAGCCACCGCGCCCAGCCCAGGATTTTTTTTAATAGGCAGTCAATTAATATGTTTTAAGACTATTTAGAGACATGGGAAAAATGTTCACAGCACAAGATGAAATTTACAATGCAATAAAACGTACATGAACTATTATCTTAATTAAATAATAAATACTTTATAATTTGAAAATAATGCCTGGCTAAAAATATTCCAACATATTAATGATTTTATTTCTAAGAAAATGCAAGTTAATTTTTAATTTATAAATCTTCAAATTATCTATAATGTCCATGTTTTATTTTGAGAGCATAAAATTACATTATAATTTGTAAATTTAAAAATACTGCACATTAAATTCTGTATCTCATGCTCTTATAAATAACTGGAACATTTTCACTTCAACTATACTGTATATATATATTATATATAATATATATACATTACTCATGTGAGTAAACTTATTTATAATATATATAGCCTGTGAAAGACATTATAACAATATTTTATCTTTCTATAATTATATTTTCAATTATTTGCATTTAAAAATTCATATTTACTGTCATTTTCAAGAATAAAACTCTTATTTTGTGAGGTTTATCTGAACACCAATGTTTAGGAGACTTTCCCTTAGCTTATTTTGAAGAAAAAATTTGCCAGTCAATTACTAACAAATAGCCACAGCATGGCCCACACAGACAGACCCAGCTCCTCACTCTTGGAGTGCTGGTGAACATCCACCAGGGTAGCTTTACGGCAACACTGTCAAACAGCCTTTGGAATCAATTAGAGGCTTCAGCCCTACAACAGGAAATTATGGCTATCCTACTCCAGAAAGAAGGCAAAGCAGAAGCTTCCGTTATTAACCAGATTATTTTGTAAAAGAAGGAGGAGAACATTTGAATCTTGCTAAAGCTTTTCTAAATAACTACAGGTTATAACTACACTCATCCACAAATGTGGTTGATCTTTTCTTAAATTTTGTCTTAAATTTTCTGATATCTTAAATGTCAGAATTTAAGAAAAGATCAGAGAGACTTATTCTGCATTTTCACTACCAAGAAAGTCAAGCTAACCAGTGGTTACAGTTTTTTTTTTTTGACTTCAAAGTATTTCTAATGGAAGGATACTGTGAGCCAGTGCAGTGGGAGCTGACAGACTTGTGCTCTTCTCTCGCTCTCTCTTTTTTTTTTTTTCTTAAGACAGGGTTTCACCATGTTGGTCAGGCTGGTCTTGAACTCCCGACCTCAGGTGATCCACCCATCTTGGCCTCCAAAGCACTTGGATTACAGGTGTGAGCCACCAAGCCTGGCCTATGCTCTTAAGATATTTATGGAAGGGTGATTTGAGCTAGCACAGAAGCGGGAAAAGAATGACAGGGTGTACAGCCACCGTGACTGGTCACACCAGAGGGGTTTTTCTCCCTCGGTCATTTCCAGGATCTCAGGCCTGAGGCCTACTCTCCACAGGAACTGGATGCAAGGTACTACAACTCCTTTATCAGGAGCAGAGGCTCTTGCTCCAAGCCTGCCATACAGTGTATGCCCTTTCAGGCAGGGACGCCACCGCCTGGGTCTTTGGTTCTTGTCCTGGTCTGGCTGTTTTCCCATGTACTGCTTCTGTTCTGTGACTGCTGTAGGCATTCCTCCTACTATAAACTACTATTTGGTTATATGGAAGGATTCTATAAATCAGCACTAAATGTGTCAGTACAGCTCCAACTACAATACCTATATGATTATATAGAAAGATTATATAGATTTAATCTTTTCCTATATAGATTATATAGTAAGATTACATGGAACTAAGTATGATTATATCTATAAGCTAGATATAGTAAACAGTTATACTTCAGGCACGAATTCTATAAACTAATATATGATTATATATAAAGGATTATATAAAGGAAATAGCTGAATAATAACACTGTAAACTAAGATATTCTTCAGACACTAATTGTGCCTGCGGTCTGGACAGTTCTCCTTCCTCGGTGCCCATAGCGGGTGTTACCCACAAAGAAACATGTTTTGGAGTAAAACATTTTGATTTTCATATCTCATAACATTATGCCAGAGTCAAGCTGGAAAGTAAGTCACAATATCTAGGGTTAAATAAAACCCATCTGATGAGAATTTATGGTTTGTAGCACATGACTCCCCAGACCCCTTAGGAATTTGGGCAAGATAAAAAAATCAGAGTTTAGTCCTCACCACCATGTCAACTTGCTAACGTGATGGAATGGCAGAAACATTGCAAAGAAGAGGAAAAGAATTCCAAGTTTTGGGGGAGAGAGCAGGGGGTGGCTCAGGGAAAGAAGGAGAGTGTTGACTCAGTTAGCTTAAT